GAGTGCGGTGGATGGCTCAGGCATAGGAAAACTTCATGCCCTTCTTCGATACCTCCCCACTCCCGCGAAGCCGCCATCGCGGGACATCTCATTGTCGAAGACACCAGCTGCTTACACCCTCCCTGAAGATCTCTTTGATATTGACGAAGTCTTCGCTATTCCGCCCTCCAAGGTATACTCAGTAACTGCAGAGCAAGAAAGGAAGGAAGCTCATGGCGTGGTTCTCTGTGGCCTGGTGCGCTACGGATCTATTTCAGCAGGAGACGAGCTACTCGTCGGACCTTTGATGCCTAGCACATCTGACTCGGGAAATTGCTTACAGAGGCAGAGGAGTCGATCAGAGAAACGGCTGGACAGCATTCAGCATTCTAGCGCGAATCGGAGCAGACCCGTTTCTGGGGACTTCTCGACCTCTTTTGTCCATGGCTCACTACCTGGGAAGTCATCTTTCCCACCGCAGGCATACTGGCAACGGGTCCGCGCAGTCAGTGTGCGGAATTTGCGACTCCCAGTTCAAAAACTGACACAAGATCAAGTGGGAACGATCGGAATAGAACCGTTGCCCTTGACTGCGAATGGGGAGGCGCCACGACTGGGAAGAATACGGAAAGGCTCCATCTTGCTCAAATTGGCAGCGCCATCTGCTTCTATACCAAGGACCCTTCTGCTTCACACTGGCTTCGTAGCCAGCTTCCCGTCTAGCGAGTTCGCGTCTCCGCTGTCCCCGCCGGTGCTGCTGGGAGGTAATGCCACAGTGTATGTGGCCAATGTTCGCACGACAGTGAAGTTGTCGAGCATGTCTCTTGCAGAAGATGAGGTCTTCTCCCGGCCATCATCACCGACTGAACCGGAGTTCTTCAGCTTTGACGGCGACACTTCAAACCACGAACGTGGTCACGAACCAGGGGTACAAGAGATGGTACAGTCGTCTATCGATCCAGGACAAGGCGATATCAAGATCACATTCGAATTCGTATCGTCGGTTGAGTGGATTGAAGTTGGATCGAGGGTTCTTCTGATGCCCGGAACAACAGCAGCGCTGGCATCTGCGCAGGGGTCCAGCCAGTCTTCGGGACTAGAAGGCTTCCATGGTCGGGTGTGCGATGTTCTTTGTCTTGAAAATACTACTAGCATATGAGCCGTTTGGGGTGCTTGTTTTGTTTCGCTTTCTGTGAATGGCTTTTTATCTTTTGTCAGCAATTGTTATTAGCAAATATGCCTGCTTCGCATAAAATGGATATAATTCTCATAATGGATCGGATATATGCAGTACTTGTGACAGAGTAAGCAACTTTGATTGTGAGCGAGTCAGTCTTGTAGATCTTAGATATGACGACTATAGCAACCGTAGCGTAAATCTAGCAGGTATCTAGTCACGGGTCCGGGGCCGCTGTCACGGGGAGGGGCGCTAGGCCCGGAAGGGAGGCCCCAACCACCGTCTCGCCGCCACCAAGTGGACAGCGTCCCACCGAGGATACAGGATCTCCAAGCTCTACTCTGTACTCCGTGCTCCTCTGATTCCTTGCTCGGCTCTCTTCACTCTTCAGACGGTTCGAGAGTGGATTCCTTGCCGTGCTGATGTGTGGCATGCAGATCTGAGGCAAGTAGCATGCATCTGACCGCCGGTCCCTGATTGGCGGTTTCTTCGTTGTGGTGCCATCTGGTCGATCTGCCCGTGTTCCCACCGGCGCCCCGTCCTCGACTGCTTCGTTTACCCCGGATCCGATCCCGTCACTTCCGCTCCTAGCATCCTTATTATCACTCCGGACCCTCAGACCTATTCAAGACCGTCACTCCGAACAAGACCTTTGATTCGCAATTGCGCCACCACTCAGCGCCAGTGGCTGGCTTCCGTCTGGTGCTCGGAGCCCCTCCTCACTCGGCATGGATAGCTACCATACATTATCCGCCAGCAGCAACATGGCTGGTCCCAGCAGCTTGTTTCTAGGATCAAGAGTCAGCTCCGATGTGGAAAACCTAACAGACGATGAAGAAGAGTTCATGTCCAGCGCCAGCACCACTTCCCATGGGTCCGAGGAACGCACAGAGAATCGATCTGAACAGGAGATGAAAACGGAGGATACTTCGGTCGATATTCCGGTGACTCCACCCCGCAATAGCATTCAAAAGGATGTAGACTCGGGACCATGTCAAAGCAGTCATTCGGAGAGCGATGCGACACCTCCTTCAACAACAAAACGGCCTCTTCGGTTGCTCGACATGCCCATCGATATCTTACAGGTGATTATAAAAGAGGTACGGGTTATACTTGGTCAACTGGCTGCGACAAGTCATTACTACGAACTAACACTTGGATGACCCCAGGTAACGCATACGAATGACCTCACATCTCTCGCTCTGACTTGCTCTGCCCTCCATTCCTTGGCGATCCCCCAGATGTATTCTCGCTTTGATATCGTATGGCCGGAAACACTGTCATCCTCCGACCACCCGGCTGGCGTGGACGCTCTCTCTTACGGTCTTGCAACACTAGTGATGGGACAAGATATATTCCGCGAGCTACCCCCAAGGCGAGCTCAACCCTGTCCCCATGGCGGTTGCAATAGCCCTGCGCCGAGTCAAGACGACCCTACAGATACACTCTTGAAGATCCGTCGAGGCAACTACTATGCACAATATACTCGCAAATTCTCAGTCGGCAACGGTCCCCTTGTCTGGGTTCAAGAGTACTCTGTAACGAAGGAGACTGGCAAAATGTTGGGGACGCTAGTTGCTCTGGCTGTGGCTCGGATGGTCAACCTGGAGACGTTCGTTTGGGACATGCCAACCGGAGTTTTGAGAGATGTGTGGATAGCGCTTTCATCGCTAGCAAATCGGCCCGGTCATGATTGTCGTCTGCAGCGCGTTTGGGTCCGTTGGCACGACAACTCTGAGAATACCATGCGTCCATTGGCCGGGCCCTCTACTGCATCTTCCGTGACGCTTCCAGACACACAAGCATTGGCAGGGCCAGCTAGTAATTCCTCGCTACTACAGAGATATGGGCATGTAGAATACCCTTCTCTGTCAATACTCCCGCCGCTAAAGAGCTTGAGTGTCCTTGATATAGATGAACCGTCGTATCTCGAAGAAATGGCTGTACTTGTTGAGCGATCCAGAGACCGTCTGAAAGAATTACGTATTGGCATTTCTAGCAAGGTCTACCAAGCATCTTGGTTGAAGCCGGCAGGAAGCTGGCAGGCTGAGCAGCCAACACCATCCCGCGGCCATTCCGGATGGCCGAAGTCTGGCGGCGTACTAGGGGTTGTTCTTGGAAGATCTGAGGAGCCCACACACCCCAGTCGGATTCAAGCAGATTCAGTGCCAAAGCCGGAGGCAACTGAAAGTCATGCGGAGAATAATCAGTCGGAAAATCAGGCACTTTCTCTATTATTTAGCACTCCAGGGTCTCCGTTGCCCGCGGACGACATTGCTTCCATTGCCTTGAATATGCAGAATACGCACATAGCACAACAACAGCCGCCTACCGCGTCGGAGACTAAGTTGTCACGAGAGATCCCCAACTCATGCTCGGAAAAGCCTTTGGCTGTGCCGGGGTCCAGTCACCAGATATTGAAGCTCGACACCCTAGAACTCGAGCGCGTTCCTCTGTCTATTCCAGTTGCGTTGCACGCGCTTGACTGGGCACAACTGACAACCTTGACAATCTTTCGTTGTGAGAGCCACGAAAAGCTTTGGAGAGCGCTGCGCCGGCAATTTTCCCCGTCTGTGTCGTCACGCTCGAAACATGGTAGACGTGAAGGTGATCAAAGTGCCTCTGAGTATCGCTTGAACCTCAGGCATATCCACACGGATGCTGTGTCGCCATATCTGCTGCTGTTTATCAAGGATACACTTGCGCCCAACACGCTGCAAACCCTATTCCTACATGAGGCACCGATGTATGACTCGATCGTCCATGTCGATGCCATCTACAAGAACGCTATCAAGACCCATCATCTCAGCCTGCAAAAGATATTGATCGATAGCACCCAGCGGGCACCAGGGGGGAGCGAAATGCCTAGTGTGCGGTGGTACAAGTGGATGTTCACGCGCCAGATGCTCACATTTCTCAGCAGCGGACGTATGCCACGGCTGCGGGAGCTCTCTATAGCTCTGCACTCAAAGGACTGGGTAAGTACCAAGCAACTTCCTTAGTTCTTATGCTAACGTCAGCAGCACTATTTCCTTCAAAGGCTGCCGTATATGCCCCAGCTTCGCGCGCTCCATATCCCACATATCGCTCGGCCGGCTCACCGAGACCCGAAAGAACTGGCGATGATGATCCTGGATATTGTGACTATCCGTCCGGAGGTGGGCATTACCTATGTAGGCATACAAAATAAATGTTACGAGATCTTGGAGGCAAAAGAAGGCGACGCGGGAGAGTTCTATGACACGGATGACAGCCATAGCGAGGGGTTCGTGCCTGGGGGCGAGGAGTGGGCAGGATCAGACACAAACGAGGATGAATCTGACGACGATGGCGGGGTCAGCGCGATGGACTCGCACTCGGACCTGTCATCAGACGACAGGATATCGTCAGACGGGGAGGGTTCTGAAATGGATTACAACAAGTCTCGGGTATCGTATCGGCTGCGAGAGATCTTGTTCTACGATGACAAGATCGCCATCTTCAAGGCGCGACATGGCGTTTTGTAACTTCCGGTTCCTTGGCGGGCGTTGGTGACATGTTCGGACTTTCTACAAGATACCATGAAGCGATTTCGGTTGGAACATTGTTAGCTAATCTAGGCATGTTAGCGATATTGGCTAGTCTTGTGCAATTAAGCATACCCCAGTGGGACACAACCATCCTGCCTTGTATTTCGTAGATGGTCACGTGCCCGGGCGGTCAACCAAGCTCAGCCTCTGAGAGCCGCGATGTCGACAAGCGACCTCAACTCGACCCTGACGAAGCCGGCTAGTATTCGACTCGCCCAACCTATTTCCCCATTTCTATATTCTGATTGAGTGCCTTTGCGCGTAAATCTACAACCATGAAGCTCGTCCGGTAAGCCAGCAGCTCCAGAGCGCCTGACGCAGCTTGTGCCCGCGAAGATTGCACGGCGACTAATTCCAATCCTCTGCACAGGTTTCTGATGAAGTGCGCCAACGAGACGGTGACGATTGAGCTGAAGAATGGTGAGTTTAACCCTCCATCTCTCCAGCGCTTGAAGATCAATCCCCTCCCATACATGTGAACCATTAAATTTGACCAAAACAGGCACCATCCTCCACGGCACCATCACCTCCGTCTCCCCCCAGATGAACACCTCCCTCCGCACGGTCAAAATGACCCCCAAAGGCCGCGACCCTATTTCCCTCGACACCATCAACATCCGTGGCTCCACGATCCGCTACTACATCCTGCCCGATAGTCTGCCCCTCGACACGCTGCTGATCGACGACACGCCCAAGCCCAAGAACAAGGCGCGCAAGGAAGCCGACCGCGGAGGCCGTGGTGGTCGTGGTGGTCCTCGTGGTAGAGGGCGCGGTCGTGGCCGTGGCCGTGGTCGTGGATTCTAAGCTGGATGGGAATGGTATTAGACATTGCGATTTCATTTTTATTACTACAACTACTACTTGAGGATCGGAGTTTTTTTTTTCTGTTTCTTTTTGTTTCTTTTTGTGACTCTTTTTTATCTCTTGTCTATCCTATGGCTGGGTGATTGATTTGCGCTGAATGGATTCGACATGATACTTGGTCTGGTCTGGATCTGGGTGTGAGGGGATAAGCTGGACCAGGCTTGGCTGTGAGAGAAGAAAATGGGTGAGAAAAGCGGCGGTGATTTACGAGGTCTGCTGGGTTGGGTTGGGTTGCGCGGTGGATTGTCGGGTCTAATTTATTTATTAGACTCGAGACGAAACTGCAAGGCAGGTCGGTCGTGTCGATGAATGACCGAGTCGAGTCGAATCGAATCAACTCGAGATCGAGAAGAGAAGAGGAGAGTAGTAGTTTACTCTACTGTATATCTATCTAATCAGTGGCCGCGACACAAACACACACGAAGAAGAACAGAAATATACACACTTCTTATGAAGTGTTGTCAGAAATCAATCATACCCTCGTCTATCATCATCATCATCATCATCACTCATTAGTCTATCATCCATTTTCCCAATAGTATATAACCCCCCAACTATACACAACCTAAACCCCTAAGAAGAAGTGGTGAACTCCCTCCAAACCCTCATTATAACCAACTTCTCCCACCCCGCCTGCACCCCACTACTCCCAACCAACTCAGCACACCACTTCCCTCCCTCCAAATACCCATCCCAACCCACAATCCTCTCCACCACCTCCCTCGGCCGATTCTGCGCACAAAGCAACACATACGCCACGCCCCTCTCACTCAACACCCTCGGAATATCCGCCAACAACCTCTCCGTGATCTCCATCCCATCTTTACCTCCCGCATACGTCAACGAGAGAAAATACGACTCTCTCTCGAACTTTTCGCTCCTCGACATGCCCCCTTCCTTCCCTTCATCATTATCCTCCTTACTAGGTAACCGCGGCAATTCCGGCGTAGGCACATACGGCGGATTAAATAGCAGGATATCGATCGAGTGAGGACGAATTGGGGAGGCGAGGTCGGAGGTAAGTGTTGAGGAGATGAGGGATTTGATTTGAGAGGTTTTAGATTCATTTGTAGAGGTTGATTGTGTATTCTGGGATTGTTGTTGCTGTTGCTCCTCAATCGCCTTCAAAACCGTCTGTCTCGTCGCAAGGCATGCATTACGGTTAACGTCCGTGCCAAGGGCAAGGACATCAGTGCGGCCGAGGATATGGTGGGAGTTTGCAGTGAGGAAGGCGAGGACGACGCCGGAGCCAGTACCGACTTCGAGGAGGAGCGGGGAGGGCGAGGATGTAGATGGGGAGAAGTGGTTCGTGAGCCAGGCGGATTCGCTGGATGAGGAGAGGGTGTCCAGGAAGAGGTAGGAGTCTTCGGAGGGTTCGTAGATGGTGTCGAAGGAGACGTGGGAGGTGCAGGGGGTGGGGAGCATTTTTGTCCCTTTTATCTCGTTGTCTATTTTCTGTTGGACTGGTAGAATTGAGATATTGGTATATAGTGGGATGATAATGGGTAAGTACTAGTTGAAAAGAATATTGTATCGAATGAAACTCCGATGAACGAACCAATCATGGCCTCCCAAAAACGGAGTGCTAAGGTTACTTTGGTTCTCCGCCTTGGAGGGTTCCGCGGCAGTAATCGCATTTCATCATTCCATCGTTCCCCGACTTCGTCTTCAAACTTGCTAATTAACTCCCCCACTTTTACAATATTATACGAGGAGTTTATCCCTACCGGAGAGAAAGGAGAAGAAGATCAGCATGTCCCAATTCCTCCGCTTCACCCCCACGGCCGCCCGCCGTCTCGCCACGCCGTCCACCTTCGGCTCCAAATCCAGCCTCTCCGAGACCTTGGCCCTGCTCCCGCCGCTGCAGCTCTACCGTCGCATTCTCCGCGTGCACCGCAAGAAACTTGACCCCGAGATGCGGATTCTGGGCGATGGCTATGTGAAGAGTGAATTCCGGGCTCATCGGAATGTGGATAATCCGTTGCATATTGTACATTTCCCCACCTTCTTACTATGACGCATGTTGAGTGTATGGATTGCTAATTGCTGTGGTGGTAGATTGGTTTCCTCACGGAATGGCAATTATATGCGCAGAAATTGGAGGGTGATGCGTGGATTGGGGAGAAGTTGGATAAGGGTAAATTGGATAAGATGAGTGGTGAGTTATTACTTCCTTTCAGTTGGAGTTACTGCCTATCAGTGGGTGTACTTTGGGGTAGAGTGGTATGTGCTAAGTGGGATATAGATCAGCAGATTGGACAGCTGTATGAGCTTATGCAAGCGATTCAGAATAAGGATGGAGAGGGGGAGGGGGAGGGGGAGAAGCAATGATCGATGCGGTTATTGCAGGGGAGGTAGGTCTAGAAAGTATGGGGAGAGGTAAAGTTGGGATACCCGGATTGTATGATATGGTATAAGTTAGTGGATTGTGTAGACTATGTATATAGAGGTAATGGGATTGTTGTAGAGTACAGCTGGTGAACATCAGCTCTTTATAGAGTAGAAACCGATATGAACTACATAGGATGGTAATTGCAACTATGGAACTCACAGATAAAATCAACTTTAGAATGTCAGATATACTCAAATTAGCACATGATCCATATCAAAATGTTATCAACCTACCAAAAAAGGTGCAATAAAAAAGCTGCTATAAGAGACCATATAATCTACCGAACAACCGGAAACCACCCGAAATACTATCCGATATCCGAGATCGGGACTGATAAGCCAAACTGACATGCATGCAGCATGTCGCATTAATCTCATTACAGACTCGATTCTAACACCAGATTATAGTTAAATAGACATCAATTGATAGCCACACTCAATGACAATCTACAACTTATTCTATACTACATAGTACATACCACTCGCCACATAAACCCTCAATCCAAAAAATACCATATATAACTATGGTACACACCCCCATCCCACAGCCCCACCGTACCTGAAAAGAAAGAATTAAACAGTCAAATCAATCCATCCCATTCCAATTTCATACTAAAAATCTTATGCACGCCCTACCGTCGACATCTATCTCCATTCCCCACATCAAACTCATACATATAACCCCAACTTATCCCCTCACTCATCATCCTACTCTCTTCTTTCCCTTTCCACCTCAATCGCACCACCACACTGAAACCCTCCCATTTAGATATTACCACCACAACACCCTCCAAATCTCAATCCTGATAAAGAGAAGAACATTGAAAATGCCCTCCCTCCTCGAAGACCCCACCACCCACATCCCCTCTCCCCTCCCCAACCCATCATCCCTCCAACCCATCTCCCGCACCCTCCGCGACAACACCCGCATCACTCTCTACCCCATAACCACGGGACCCGACTCCCTCCCCTCCTCTCTCCTCCACTACCTACATAGGGAATTCTCCGAAGAGATTCTCAAGGGATGTACCTATCCCATGGAATCGCCCCTCGAGTATGACCTGTACCGGACGTATTGGTTTGGGACGTTTGCAGTGGTTGCTGTTGTTGACGATGGTGGGGATGGGTTGAGGGAGGGCAGGGATTGGGAGAGCGTTTGTCTGGGGACGTTTTATGTGAAGCCGAATTATCCGGGTACGTTACTTTTTGTTTTGGGGGGATGGGGATATATATGCTAATAGGATTGGGACTGGGATAGGACGCTGCTCGCATGTTTGTAATGCCGGGTTCTTTACCACGCCGGCGGCGAGGAATCGTGGTGTTGGGAGGGTTATGGGGGAGGTTTATTTGGAGGTGGCGCCGAAGTTGGTATGTCTTTCTTTTTCTTTCTTTATACCTTTGTTTCCGGGGTATGGGTTGGGTGGGTGCTAAATTTGGGTAGGGATATAAATACTCCGTATTCAATCTCGTCTTCGAGAATAACGTTGCTTCGGTCAAGATCTGGGAGAATCTGGGATTCCAGGTTATCGGTCGTGTGCCCGGTGCTGCGCGTCTGGCGAATAGTCCTGATCTCGTTGATGCGCTTATCATTGGGAAATCCTTGGTATAATCGAAACGAAAATAAAATAATATACATATATAATATAAAGTGTATTGCAATTAAAACATACCCCAATACATGAAGTCGCTCCCTTCCATCAATGAAATACTCCTAAATCAATGCGAGTGGGGAATCAATCTAACAACCGGCTTCAAGCAATCTGGTATATGACACCACTGGCTCCCGAACCTCAATGCCAATATGCATAGTACATGAGTGTGTGTGAAGTTAATGCGAGATCGAACAACGGAAATGCTAGAAATCAAAGACCCCCGGAAATGCTATGTCACATAGTATGGTATATTCCCGATCACCGCCATGGCGGCCGCTCTCCGAGCTTGCTGCGAGGCGTCGGGTTGTTCTTCGGCAATGGGATCAAGCTGATCCGCCGGTTCGCGGAATGCCCCAGCGCGGTGCCCGGCCGCGGCGTCTTCGTCGGACTGGCAATGTTTCGTTCGTGGTCATGCGACACACTGCGGCTGAACGACAGCCCCGCAAAGCTCTGTCGGCTGCGCGGCGCGTTCGACATGCCGTCGGGCCGCCGGAGCTTGCTGTAAGGAGGAGGGTCGAGGATAGATCGATTAGGTGTAGGAGAGCCCATGCGCTCTGGGCTGCGATTCGTCAGGCGGCTGGAAACACGACTCATAGAGCGCGCCGTCATCGGTGCCGGAGAGACGGACATGTCGCGCCGGAACGGCCCCATGGGTATAGTCGACGAGGGCCGCGATGTGCGGCCAGAAGCAGAGGGCTTGCGGGGAGTAGGATTGGGTTTGTACACGTGGCCGACAAATAGGTCGTTCGTGTTGGTGCTGTTGGTCCAGCGCGGACGATTAGGAATGGGGGACGGCGCCGGCTTGACAGGCTTACGCGCAGCAGGGGTGGGTGTGGCGGCGCCCATCCGACTCGGTGATGGCGCAGTGAGCGAAGGCTTGGGGAGAGACGACTTCTTGCTGGTCAGCGCGGCCGTCGCCTGCGGGATGCCCGAGTACCGTCGCATCTTGGACATTGTCGTCCGTGCTGCAGAGCTGACCGAGCTGCCACGTCGACTAGACGTTCCCATTGGCGTAGCAGAGCCCTTGAGGGGGTTGGCGGGCGTCATCACAACTGACGATGCCGGTGAGCTCCCCGGAGTATCGGCGACACTGCCGGTCAGAGGACTGTCCATCGTCATGATACTGGAGATCGAGTCCCGGAGATGCTGTGATCGGACAAAGTTAATGTCCTCCAGCCACTCATCCATCACCCGGACACTCGCCTTCAGGGCGTCGATCCTCGACGTCATGTCCGACAGCAGTCGCAATATTTCTCCGTTCACCGTCAGTCGGTCATCGACACCCTTGCGAATAATCGACACTACCCGCTCAATCGCTGCCACATAGTGCTGCTTCTTGGCCTCGTAGCTTTCAATACGTTTCGTGAACAACGTTGCATCGTGCAGATGGGCGCATGTCTCGATGGCCTCCTGCAGTTTTGCGATGCTGCGCTCCACCGAGTCGAACATTTTCTGCGCCTGTCCACCCGCATTACGGAACACGAGGATCCACCGGTCTTCGTTGAGTTCCTTCTGCAGCGCATCTGCATCCTGCTCCAGCTTTTGAAAGCTCTGTTCAAGATGGCCCCGCCGCTCCTCGAGCTCCTCACAAGCGCTGGGAAAGATCCTCTCAGCCCGCGCTTGGAACATGGACATTCTCATCGGCAAGAAATCAAGCGACGCTCGCAACGGTTGTATTCGTGCGAACAGCGCGATGAGGTTCGAGTGATTCGTGTCGTCATGTGGCGTCTGAATGACCGGCATATCCATCGTAGGTGGCCCGGTAAGGATGGGGTCTATACTGAGTCGTTTGCTGGACAGCAGTTGCGCCTGGGACGGGGTCTCTTCCACGATGGTCTCCAGCTCATTGATGTCGAGCCCAGAGGCGCTAGAGTCCTGCTCGCCTGCCAGCGTCCAGTGCCGTTTTTCTTCCATCTCGAAGATCAGCCCTGTGAGACTCTCTACCTCCACCGTCACATCGCCCAAGACATTCCCCCACAGCTCTTCCCACTCCATTGCCAGCTCAACCTGTCCTTTGACTCCCCGGAGTCGATTCTTGATGTTGGCCCAGCTTTGTATGATCGTGTCCATCTGCACGACGATCGTCTGGAGGCTATCGGTACTCACGTCGCCGATGTCCTCGCGCAGCTGCACTTCCTCGATCGCCCTGACGTAGACGTTGATCAGGCTCTCGAACCGGATGATCGCCTTATCCACCCCCTCCAGACCTTCTCGTCCCGCCGCAGCTGCCCACTCCACGTCATCCTCTGCATCCAACCCCCCTAGCACATCCGAGGCCTTCTTGACCCATATTTGAATTTGCTCTGCCGCTCCGGTGAGCGCCCGAACCGCCGCAGGGGCGGTTGCAATGGATGAGATACTAGCCTCGAGCGACGATGGTTGCGGAAGGGGGATGGAGGTGAGCTGGGAGAGTTGGTTGCTAAACGAGGCGCGCGAGAATGAGTAGATGGACTCCGTGCGCTGCAACCCCTGGGGGTTGAAGTAGGATTGTGAGCTTAGGGAAGTGGTCGATCGTGGGCGCGGAGAGTCTTTCGGTGGCGGCGGGGGTGGATTCGAATCGTCTTCATTGGTGCTCTGTATGTATTTCTCAAAGTCTGTCTGCTCGGGGACGTCAGGTAAGGGCGCTGGCCTAGGCTCGAATGGCGCCGGAGCATGCTGAACGACAGACATGTCGGTTTGGGGCTCTTCCAGAGTAGCCTCTACCTCAACGGCCTCGTCAGCAATGTCTTCAGCACCTTCTTCCACAAGTTCTTCTGCAACGCCTTGCTCCGCAACAGCGTCTTCTTCGATAGGGTCTTCCTCGATAACGTCTTCCCCAACGGCCTCAACCTTCACAGCCTCTCCAGGCTCTTCGGCCTCTTCCGACAGCGGGACCTCTTCTTCCGGCCCTTGATCCTCAGGCTGGTCCAGGGGACGATCCGAGTCGGGTGTCAGTACCTCCTCCAACTCCTCTGGGGTTATTTCCGGTAGCTGCGGTTCGGGGACCTCTAAGTGGCTAGAATCACTTTCGTGGGATTTCCTATCCTTGTGTAGCCGGGGCAGAGCATTCCATGAGCGACCTTTCTTTTCGATCTTGATGGATTTGGATAAATCCTGATGCGTTTTGTCGAGTTCTTTGATCTGTTCCTCGGGAATCCGACCGACGGCACCGGGGTTGCGAGAGGGACTGTTGTGTTTGTTACTACCGTCTAGTAACTTGACGCGGGCAGCCAGGCCGGGGGACAAGCGACGGAGAATTGACGGGCGGACAAGAGTCTTGTCGAAGCCGAGGTCGTGTTGTTGTTGATGGTGTTGTTGGTTATCGTCGGGTTCACTGCTACTGCCCAAGCTGCGGAGGCTTCGTAGGGACGACT